ACATGAGTCCCGATAAAAACCCAGAGCTCAGAACAATGCCTCCACGAGTCCAACTGGAAGTCCAGAACCCACAAGAAGGACTCACCCCAGTCTCTTTTACGGATTCGTGCCGGGAAGACTCAAGGGTCAGCGGTGGAAGCCAGAAAGTCTATGCCAGCAGGATGAAGGAGCTGTTCTAGTGGGATGAGGATTCTATACTGCAGCCGAGAAGTCACACTCACAACAAAGAGCAGAGCTGTCCTGAAAGGCACCACAGCTGTCCTTAGTGACACGGAGGCCCCGAGCTCCTCTGACAAGCACAGTCAGGTATGTGCCAGGAAGCAGCATGACGAGTTCATCCTGGAGACCAGGCAGCACATGTCTTCCCCTCCGGAGCCAGGAAGCAATGCTAGATGTGAAGACCAAAACTTCTCCAGGAGAACCAACAGCTCAGACAGCAACTCGTAGCAGAACCCACAATATCTCCTTAACACCTCAATCCCTCCCCACACCTCTCTTCTCCACCTATTTATCCTGGCAACCCTTCTCAGGTGGAGCATCTTCTCTGAATGCATGCTGATGTAATCCAGCTGGCATTAAGTTGACCACTAGTTATCAAACCATAACACTCTCCTTCCTCTTGCCCGAGACACATGGCAGTATATTCTTTTTCTTTTGCTTTTAGTGTTGCCAGGGCTGGAGGGAAGCAATACAGCATTTGCTCATGTTGAAGTCTTGTGTACATTTTCAGAGGGGTTTTAAATTTCAGTGATTTTCAGAAGGGAATGGGTACTTCTAAACTTCATGTGGTACCCTGAGATGAAGTAGTGAGACACATTTGATCTGCATGTTGAACAGAGTTCCAGCACTGTCAGAATCCGTCATTCTGGCAAGGCAGGTCAAGCCCCAGAGCCCACCCATCTAGGGACAGCAAGTTGATCTCCATGGTATTGGCATGGCATTTGGGGCTGAATCCACTTGTCCCCTGCAGGTGCTGCAGTCCAGGCATGCCTGAGTGGTGGCTGACTCTGTCCCCAGTCCAGGGGCACTGATGACTGGTTTGCAGCCAGCACTTCTGCTAGGAGCACAGACCAAGGGCCGATGGCCTCCTGAGAGTTGACACTCTGCCATCTTCCATGCACTTGTGTTCCTGTGTCCTGACCTTTGACCATTCACTTTTCTCCTGCAAAGTCCTGACTTCTGGCTCCATTCAAATCCAGTTAATTTCTTTGACCCTGGTCTGAGTCCTCACTACAGTGAGAACTTGGCAGTGTGATGGGGTGGGTGTGGCCTGTCCCCTAGCCCCAGACTCTGGCACATCTTCCATGGGACCAGAGGCCCTTCATCATCATGGGAACTCGCTTTCCTCTCAGGAGGACCCTTACAGCAAGGGCTGTGTGCCAGCCTGCACTTGCTCAGTCTGATGTGGGGCTGATCCCAGGCAGCCAGTGTTAAATTACAAAAAAAAAACTGTCTCATTGTAACCTCTTAATGCATACTCAGAGCACAGACACCATGAATTGTACAAAATCATTGAACTACTTCCTAACCTTTGCCTTTCAGGTAATTGAAAACATGGCCTCAAGACAAAAAAAAAAAAAAAAAATCACTGGTTATGGTTAGCCCATTTGTCAGTGTGTTTAAAACCTAATTACCTGAGGTCAAGCTGTGGAACCAGCAGCAGGAGTGAGGGGCACTGAACTCTAAGCCAGCACTAAAGAGTGTGGAGACCTCTTCTCCCTGTCAGCTTTCCAAGACTAGGGCATCGTTGGCAAGGGAAGAACAAGAGCTGTTTCCTCCTTCCTCCCTCACTGCAAGAAGCCAGCAGAGCTCACACATTAGAATCAGCAGTCATGGGATAAGCATTTGAGACGAGAAGCCCATGTCCCCTACCCAGACAGCAGAGCCCATCCCAAGAGCTCAGCACCTAGCCGAGGCTGGGTCACACCTCTCATCTGACCGGCCCCTCTGTTTGATGAGGTCCAGGTGACTTAGAGCAGAATCTTCACAGGATCAAGGCTGTGTCTGAATCACTTGTGTTGTAGTCCCTTAGACAGGGGCTCATGTTTCATGCTGTGCGCTTGCGGAGGTAAAGGGGGTGGTGAATCATTTAGTCCATGAAAAGAAAACTGTTATGTGTCTCGTGAACAATCAGCAAATGTGACTTTAAATGAACTTCAAGATGTATTATCTATAGATGATCAGTATGCAGTTAATTAACATGCTTTATCTGTGTGTCTTCAAGGGAAAACACGAAGTCTAAGGAACTAAACTCTTCCTGAGTAAAAGCAAGATTTAAGGACTGAGAAGGATTAGCCACCATTGGAGTTCAGGATGGGTGGTACAGCAGGGCCCAGCAAATAGTGCCTCCCTGGCCGGAACCCTAATGGTTCCTCTGCAGCTGCCTAGCATCACTCAGTTCCTCTACTGCCATTCAGGAATGCCATGATGGCTTCAAGGGGAAAGAGCTTCCCAAAGACCAAGGGGACCTGTGGACAGGAAGGGACAGAAAGAGTGGCCTGGTTTCCTGGGGCCTCTGCCTTCAACTAACATATGCCTCTCATTTTTCAGATTCAACAAGTTTACAGGAGCCATTCCAACTCAGCTTAAATTATAAACATAAATTTGTTCAAACCTACATGCTTTAGTAAATACTATACAAATTATACCATGAATTTTAGGGTTTTTATATATAAGAGATTAATCAACATAAAACAGAATAAAGCTAATCAAAACAAAGCAATGAAAGTGACACAGGACTTCACAAAAAATAGGAAATCAACAATAGCTACCATAATGTTTCTTGTTTTCTTCAAAATAGCTGTCCACACCATCAGACATAATAAAAATCAAAATAAAGCTAATCAAAAGAATGAAAATTTTAATGAGAATAAAATCAAACAAAACAGAAAAAAGCCAATCAAAACTAAACAGTGAAAGTAGTGCAGGATTTCAAAACAGGGTAACAGGAAGTCAATAATGGCTACCATAATACCTGATATCTTTAAAACTGCTGCCCATACCATCAAACATAACAAAATTGAACAAAACAGAAGAGAATGAAACCAATCAAAAACAGAACACTGAATAAGACAAAACAATAAAATGGTACAAAACAACAGAGTGAGATAGAAAGAAATCCTCATATTTGCTATACTGCATACTGTTATCTTTTTAATAGATGCTCAGACTACTGGCCTTAGGCCTGCAAAGTCAATCAAACAATACAAGCAATAAGTTGTTTTGGTACTTCAGATGCTATCAATTCAGCCTGTCCTCTAAATCAGCTGATTACTTACAGGGTAGGGTTGCGGGGTGGGGAATGGGGGTCCTTGTCTCCTAGCTCATGTGCCAGTTGGCTCACAGAAAGGGCAAACTGCCTTGCTGTTACTCCTCCTGGACTCTACATGGCCTGTGCTGGCTCACAGGAAGAGCAAATTGGCTTCTTGTTCCCAGCATGGCTTCTGCCAACTCATGGGAAGGGAAAATTCGCTTCTTTCTCCTCTGGGGCTCTGCATGGCCTATGCCAGCTCACAGGAAGGGTGAACCAGCTTCTTGTTCTTGTTACTTCTCCCAGGCCCAGCATGGCTTCTGACTCGCGGGAAGGGTAAACTGTTTTTTTTTCTCCTCCCAGGCTCCACATGTTTCACAGCAACTCATGGGAAGGGTAAATTGGGCTTTTTTTTGGTACCAGGATTGAACTCACAACTGCGTGCTTGCAAGACAGACACTTATGTCGCTGAACTAAATCTCTAGCCCGTGTTTTCACCTTTTCTTAATTGTCCTTACTCCAAAACAATGAACACTTTCTATAGCTGCTAACCACTGTAAAACACAGTGTATAAAAAGCACATTGAAAATAATGCCCTGGAATAGAACATCTCAAATGCTGCTTAATAATAGGCTCAGCTTGATTACTTATATTTCATGTAATGTTCCTCCAACTCAGACATTTGATGGTGCAAGACCAACCATGAAACCAAGGGATTCTTAAATGTACAAACTGATAGTGCGTGTATTTAATTTAAAGACTTATTTAAAAATTAACAAGTTCTCGGGGCTGGGGATTTAGCTCAGCGGCATAAGCGCCTGCCTTGCAAGCAGGCAGTCATGAGTTCGATCTCTGGTACGGATAAAAAGGAAAAAGACAAAAAAAAAAAAAATTAACAAGCTCGATCCCGGATACCGATAAAAAGGAAAAAGACCCCCCCCCAAATTAACAAGTTCTCAACAAGACTTTTGAGAACAGTCTGTTTTCTATAATGTCTGATACTAGAAACTAATTTGCTTCCTATTTTAGTTGTACTCAAGATTTGAAAATGTATTTTATAAAATACTGTTTCTGAACTCTGTGGAACTATTGAATCAGATTATCAGTTGAGTATCCAAACTGAATTATACATTATGAATGTATAATCCAAACATTGTTTGTAAAGCTTACAGTACATTTTTATTATATAACACTTTTTTATACTGTTACCAGTATCATACCTGTATGATTCTGGAGTCTGAGTTGTCAGCTTGGTCCCTTAAAGTTTCCAGTAAAAACAAAATCATACTGTGATTTTATTTTTAATAAGCTTATGCTACCAAACTGTGTTACACTTCTAATTTACTGGTCCTGCATCAGGAGACAGAGTAGGGGAAATCTGTATTTAATACAGTTTCTATCTGAATAATCTATACGGTCTATACAGTTTGTGATGTCCAGAGATGTGTAAAGTTTGATCTTTGTTTTTTAAGGATTAAAAAAGCACTTGCCCCACTGTAAATATACAACATGTAGAATTTATATAGTACATAAATGGCATTGAATTAATAATTTGTGTCATTTTTTACTTCTATTTTCCCCATTTGTTTCCAGTCATATCTTCTCTGACTTTGAGTTCACTTTCTTTAGCTCACAGCTCTGGCTAGCATCTCAATAAGTGCCACGGACCTCAGAAATGGGTCAAGGAAAACCAGGCAGGAGTGTGCTGGACCCAACATATCCTATTTTAAAGAAGCAAATCTTAGACACCTTGTTTTAACAATACATGGGATTTTTATTTAGCAAAGACAATATTGCAAGCTTTAATAGCCACATACCCTTCAGTTGTACTGTTCATTTTGCAGCAAAATATCACTAGATAATTTTCATATCAATAGAATATTCATGCAAGTTATAGGGGGTATATACACTGAATAATAAAACACTCCAGAAATGAATATATGTACATTATTTACATATTAACTATATTTAGGTAATAGAAATGTTTTTTCAGAAAAAAATAAGAAAATGAGCAATCACAACTTGTGGATTCTGGTCTATAATAGACCTAACTTCTCATCAAAGCACATCTGTGTAGATATATGTATCTGAGACCTTGAAAATAGGCATTGCTTTATATGAAGCACTAAATGCTGCTTCATCTATAAATAGCTCTTACTCTGAGTCCATTTGGTGCCACATTAAACTACATGAAAGTGTTTCAGGACCCTGGAGATGTGGGGACTTTGAGTGTAGATCTAGGGTGATTCCAAATAAACCTCAAAGGATAACCAGGGCCCAGTGAGACAGCTGGGGTGCTGTAGAGCTGCCATCTCCCTCCCAGTTTTCCTCCTCAGAACTGCCTATTGCCCTGTGTGTCTGGAAGAAACTTTGTCTTTGGCCAGAGTTGGGACTGATAACTCAGGATGGAGTGCAGACCCTTGGGTGGGGAGGTGATAAGCATGACTGAGCCTCACTACCCCTGTAGTGGAGTGGGGGGGGGGGTCCAACTTCTAGATGGCCTGGTAGAGGCCAGGTACACAGCATGATGAGACACGCCCTCAGTATTAATACTGTCACAAGAAAACTTGGAGTTAGGTGATTTCATGTAATACTCTTTCTTGATTGGACAAATCACTTAAGATTTTGAGCACCAAGGCTTTCTGCACGATCCTGGGTGAACAACCATCGAGCAGAGCTGCTCACAGGTGACCGTGGTGATGACAGATTCACCACCAGGTGACTTCATGCTCACTTCTCTCAACATCCTAAAACAGGAAGCTCCACATCCCCAGGGCCGTACCTGGGTTAGATAATAGGGAGAGAGGAAGACACTCATCCCTGTGTGAACTGCTGACCCTCTGCTGCTACAGTCCCTGGCAGTGCTGGCCCAAGGGTGACCCACACTGTGGAGGCATCATGATTGGTCCTCATCATGATGTGGAGGCATCATGCTGGTCTGGGCAGCACCTACGCATGGCAGACAGGGGGCAAAGTTGCATATACACCAGTCAGGCATATCAAGGCAGCCAACTTGCCTTGCTCAAACACTAAAGCTTCAGGTCTGAGGTATTAGTAAAGTAACAGCATAGAAGCTCAGGGATAAATCAAAATATCAGTCTAATGCATGATGGAGAGTTTCAGCCTTGGACCTTCTGCAGTCTGGTGTGACATAAAGCTACACACTAAGGTCAGCCACCCAAAGGCAAAGGTCCCAGGGCTACACAATCTCCGCTTCAAGGCAGCCCATGGGAAGACTTATTTCTGCATAAGTGCATTCGGTCTGAGGTTTTTATTCCTAGACTTGCTTTTGCACAGGAATACAAACAACCTCCAAAGGGTGCAAACTCTGGGTGCACCTGTACAAACAGGGCAGGGCAGCAAGTCCAGGCAGGGGTCACAACCAAACAGCCCTTGCATATGGAGCTAAAGAGGGCCCACATGTTAATGCACAGGCATCCAAAGGTGCAAATAAAGTTCCCCAGGGGAGAGACTATGTCACTCACCCAGTGTCCTCATCCTTGCCTAGCTCTGACAGTCTAGTGGTAGGACAATCAGCCCATCTCAGTTTACATATGGGGTTCTCCACTGCTCACAGAAAACCCTAAATGCCACACACCTTCATTCATGGCTCTCTCCCTCCTTACAAAGGCAGCTCAGGTTGGAGAGCACAGTACTGCAAGAGAAAGACGATGGACTATTTCTACTTACTAGATATATCTAGTCATTCAATGAGAAATTTGATTACATCTGAGAGAGAAGTATTCTGCTGAAGAATTTAAGTAGCAATGGATGTGGTCAAAAGTTGATTTGACCCATGTATTCCATGAAACTATGTAGAACTGCTGTTTGTGTGGGCTGGAAATGGTCAGATATAAGCAGTTTCCTATAGTTCAACCTATGGGTGATCTGCCCAGCGAAAGAGCGCCTTTTCCTTGGATTCAGCAGTTATACGACAAATAGACCCAAACTATAACCATATCTTAATGATTGGTTTTAAAAAGTATTTGCAGGGCCAAAAAAGTATGAGAGGGGAATTGCAGGGCTTATCACACCTGCAGCCCCCAAGTTTACTAGTCCTTGAGGACACTAGTGCCTTTCCTGCAGCTCCCACCCAACTGCAAGTTGCCCCACAGCCCTCTCTTTAGGTGCTGCATATACTTTTTTTTTTTCAGTGCACAGTATATATTTGTGTCCAGGAGTTGTATTCATAGCTGCCATTCTAAAAATACTACTGTTAGAAAGTGTCTTTCATTATAACTTGAGGATATAAAAAGGCATATAAAAGCTATAATCCTATATATCTGAGAAAAATCTGAATTAAAAAAGTGGTAATTTTTCCATTTCCATTTTGATATAAAACAGTGGCTTCTAGAATGGTCACTGCCACTGCCCAAGTGGGCCGATGCACGTGGCAAGATCAGCAGATGCCCACAGGGAATCTCCCTCCCATCCTGTGGTGCCGTAGGAAGCAAGGCTCTGGGCCAGGTGGCACCAGGAAGAAACACAGCCGACCACGATGCAGGCCACACACAGCACAGGCTTCGGGGTGTGCAGCTGTGCCACAGCTGGCTCTGGAAACCACTGTCACTTGAGGAGGTGCAGCCCGGCTGTCGTGTTGGGGCAGCCGTCAGTCACATCTGCTGTGAGGTTCGGGTTTTAGTTTACCTGCTGGCAGGTCTATTTCTTATTGGCAATCCTTCTTTTCCTCGTTGCCAACATGTCGTAGAAAGGATCCCTGCTGATGCTTGCTCTGGGAAAGAAAAGGAGCAGGTTTGGGTGAGGGCAGCACTGGCCCTGGAGAGCCCAAACCCCTCTCTTCTTTTAGCCCCTCCTGTGCCTCAAATAACACAGCAGCTTCACACTGTGGGGTGGGCTCAGCAGCACTGCCCCCAAGTTTCTGGAGACACAAGGGTCAGAGTGTAAACTGAGTGTGTCCTAGCACATGTGCACATGCTTACTCCCCAGCCTCACTTACTTGATGGATTTCATCCACTCCTCCTTTTCTTCAGGGCTTGGGGCAGAGATGCGATATACCACATGGTTTCCCTCCACCACCCGGCCATCAGCCTCTGTCTTGCAGGCTTTGATGACCTGCCCTTTGTGGCTGGGATTGTAAAGCTCAAAGCAGTTCTGGAGAGACAGGAAAGGTCACAGGGTTTCCAAGCTACTATTATGCTCCTGGGTCCAGGGCACCTGCAGGCTCAGGCCATGGAAGCACAAAAGGGACACTTGTGAAAGGAAGCCACTTACAGGTTTCCGTGGATCTTCTACCTCTCTGATGCTGAGATTTTCCAGTGGGATGATGCCCCTAGGCTCCTTGTCCTACAAGGAAAGGCACAAGGCCAGCCACAGCAAGCCACTGCCTGAGCGCCCCTGCCCAAAGGCTCCCAAGACCCACTTACTGTGGTGTACTCAAAGTAGTAGAGGCAGTTGTCAGTCAAGATAAACCAACGCCGCTTCCAGGTCTTCACGCGCCCTCCTAGGAGCAGAAAAGCCCTGTGAGTCAGGTGCTTGAGCCCACACAATGACTCCACTCTCAAAGAGGCCACCAGGAGCCAAGCTTGAGCTTATATTTCCTTCCTTGTGAAAATGTTAGCAAGGTCCTGGATGAACTGCATGGCTAGCAGTCCAAGTGGGTAGCTGGGTGCACAGCTAGGGCCCACATGCACTCCCCCACCCCGACCCACAGAGGTGTCCTCTCCATGGCCACCCAGGGTCACTTAGAAAGCACATCACTTTCAAGTCTGCTTCCTAGAAAAGTTAGTCATAATGAATGGGCGTAACTTCCCCACATGAAATGACAAGATGAAGTCAGTGCCAGCTCAACCAGGTCTGTCCAGGGCTTAATCCTGTTGCATCAGGGCATTATCTCATTACTGGGTACTTTGGGCAGCCCTGGAATCCATCAGAGTCAATTACTCCTTGGCCCAAGGAATTATTAGATTGAATCAATCTTTTAACAAGATCTGAAGTACACATGTACCATGTACATGCACGCACGCACATACAAGCACACACATGGCTCCTCTCTGCCTATGTTCCTTTTACTATAGAAAAGCAATCTTCTACTCTGCAGAGCCAGTGTAACTGGCTTCAACTACTACTTTTTGCTAGTAAGAGAAAGGAAGATATTCAGGGTAAGAAATTCAAGCGCTACCTAGGCAACAAGTAAAAGTTGGCCCTCCCTGTCCCATCACTCCCCAGACTATTCTCTACAATATGGAAATGGCTAAGGAGCCATCACAGACAGACCCTATGAGGCTGGAAATGCTGGGCTGAGTAGACAGGACAATGGAAGGAAGGCTGTGCAGGTTACAAGACTTGAAGGGGAGGAGAAAGCCAGACCCTAATGGGTGCAGAGGCACTGGAGGGAGGGAAGGATGTTTCCAAAGCCCAAGCAAGACCGTGTAACCCAGCCTCACTCATGGAAGCCTACATCTACCCATCTTTCTCTGAAGCTCTAAGGCAGCCCACGAGGTCAGGAACCACCAGAGCACTAAAGAGGCAGCTCTGGCAAGCAGTTGTCCCTGTTTCTCCCCATCCCAGACAGATCTGCTGCATGCCTCCATCCACAATAGCATGCTACTGCTCCCTCCAAAATGTCTGACTACAACGTGTACCCTAAGATTCCCAACATATCTCCACAGCCCCCTTCAAACTTTCCTCCTTCCCTGCCAGTTGAGGTCTTCAATGGCATAAGGCTCTTGCTCAGCAGGACTCCAGTCTAAAGTACCATTCCTTCCTCCAATGTCTCTCCTGACACTTGACCTTGGTGCCTACTCCCACAGTCCTTACACACAGCTTCACTGCTGGAATCCTTTGCTTCTGGTCTAAGGGCCTGTCTCATCCAGTCTACAGAGAGCCCATTCCAGACAGGGCCCTCACAGGGGCTCCATTCCTTACAGGCAACCTATTTTGTCCCAAAGTCCTCCAATGACAAGGGGACAAAGAGAGCCTTTTACGCACTAAGATTACAAGAAGAGGACAAGGCTGGTTCTTCCCAGGCACTTCATCCCCCACCTCCAAGACAGAATCAGGTGGTGGTCCCTCTACTATCCCTGGCACCCTGCTGTGGACTCTGTCTCTCTCAGAGACAAGAATCCTGCTCTGATCACATCCATCCTGCTTGAGGCCCTCCAAGGGTTCCACTGTGCTCTTCGTAATGGCCTAAACTCTTGGCTACCTAGGGGCTTCTGCCACAGCTGTTGGCCCTTGTTGCAGCCTGAGCTGCTCTCAGCCTCCACCTTTGGCCAGAAGTGGATCCTTAAAGCCACACTAGGACTACCCAGGGTTCCTTGCTCAGTACACACTTCCTCCAGTGTGCTCCTGTCAAGGCACACAATCAGGGGGTGCTCTGCTCAACCCTAGGCCATTCATTGCCCACATACAATCACTGGCTACCATAGAGATGGATCTGTTAGGATGGTCCCAGGCTCACATCCACTGCTCCAGGCTACACACTGCATGTAAAAAATCCAAGCCCTGTCTGAGGACCCCATCAGGGTACAGGCACCAAGACTGAAGTGTGCCATGTGGAAGGGCTTTAGTCTCCACACATGAAGCATCTTTCAGCTGAGGAGCAGGCCCACTAAGGGCAAGGTGACAGTCTCAGTGCAACAGTGGGTTCTGCTGTGAGGAGGTGGGAAGCTTTGCTCAAACCATATCACACTTGCAGACAACATCCTGGCTTCCCTCAACAGGGTAAGCACCACTCTGCACATTAACATTTTTACTGCTGTTACCAGGTGTATGTATATGTATGCACAGTATGTGTGCATACACATACCTTTTCTTCCAAGGCAGCTCTGCTCTGCCCACATCCTTAAGTGTTTGTTCATTTGTTTGCTTGTTTGAGACATGGTTTCACTATGCCACGCAGGCTGCCCTTGAATTCACTTATATAGCCTAAGCTGGCCTCGAACTCACATCAGTATATCTGCTTCAGCTCCCCAATGCTGAGATCAGAGGTATGGGCCACCACACCCAGAACGAAGTTTTTGACAGAGCTGACTCTTAAATCCAGTGTCTTAAACTTCTCAACATTAAGTTAGGCCTGTGCACCCTCCAAAGCACCTATATCCTGTAACACATTCCAGCATTAAAGGGCCCCTACTCTTCAACCATAAGAAGAATCTAACTCAGGAAGCCACATCTCCACCTGAGAACAGGCCCAAGTCTCCATTGGTCCTTCACACCTTCAGTCAGTGCCTGGGTCCTGACTATGTCATAGCCCTTTGCTGGGAGGGACCATGTTTGCCCACTTAGTATGGGATCACACCAGGAGGCTGACTTGAGTCACACTTCACTCCTGAGAACAAACAGGGAAGCCACAGGGGCAAGGGAAACTGCAGGTACCAAGACCACAGGATGGCACTTTCCCAGGCTCCTCTGTGCCCCCCTCAGCTGTCCACTGAGCTATGTCTGGCTGTATCTGGCCAAATTCACAATTCCCTTAAGTGTTTTGCATTCTTGTTTTGGTGGCCTTCTTATCTCAATCAGGAAACAGATCAGAAAACACGAGCTCTCTTGTGCCTTCATTTCATCCACTTATTTGTATCTCCAGAGCAGCAGAGGCCACCTGAGCTGCCACGAAGGCTGACAACCTCACATCCCTGCAGGGGACACACTTAGGCAGCACAGGGCCTGGAAGGCAGTTGCCTGACCCAGTGAAGGGGCTCCTTGCTCAGGCCAAGCACAGTGGCTGCATTTTGGGACATATGTAGTCTTCCTCCTGCCCCCATTCTAGCACCACGAGCACAATGTGGCGTGTATCTCAGGTCACTCAGGCATCCAACTCCAAGGCTACAATACTTGGCTTTTAGAAAAAGATTCGGAACTTTTCTAAATCTCAGCACAGCCAGAGAAAAGTCAAAGAGCAATGCTGCAGGTCGAAGGCCTCAGTGGGAACAGTGGGCCCACAGGATGCACCCCAGCACCCATCAGCCAAGGCAGCCCATGGCTGTACAGCTGTCATCAAGCCACATCTTTAATCTTCCCTCAATAAAAACTTCCTTTAAAAAGTCTCCAGAACTCCAGCCCTCGGATCTTACATGCTACACAGAAATACTCTGTTCTGAGAAGCAGCTGCAAAACAATGCTGTCAGATCTCATGGGCTTTACTGTCAAAGAAAGATAAAAATTCATCCCCAGTGTCAAACCCTAAAAAGCCTAAATTTGCCCACAGAGTATAAAATCCATTAATTTCTTTGACACCAGTAAGGAAGGCTTTGAGATGTCCCCAGAATCCTCTAAAGGGTGCCAACATGCTTTGCTTGGTTACTATGGGGCACTTGTGACTCTGCAAGGACAGGCTGCTTACCAGCTCTCCTGCTGCTGCTGCAGGACCCTAAAGATGAGGGGGTCTAGTTTGTTCCCAGTGTCCCTATGGACTTCTGCTCCTAGCCTGTCTTGACCCTATCACTAGGGGTAGGTGTCATACACACCACACTGTGCACAACACCATTCCCCCGCCAAGTCAAAGCCAAATGAATCAGATGAATGGCAGCCACAGATCAGAGCTTCACACAGACCAGCATGGGGAAGAGAAACCGAGAGAGGAATGAGCCGCTTGGGGAGGGGAGGAAGCCACTGGGTACCTACCTCCTAACGCAGGACAAGCAGGGACAGCCCGTCACAGAACAGAAAGGTGGGAGCCACAGGCAGAAGGAAAACAACAAGAAGGCACATTTAAACCACTCATCAAAAATCACAGCCACGCCAAACCAAGAGGAAGGCACACAGGTTCTTTGGAGGTAAATGTACTTGCTTCTTGCAGAGAAAACTGCCCTGCACTTAGGTGGACACTAACTCAGCAGTTTTCTGGGATGGGTTGTGAAGTCCCTGCCATAGACACTGAGCCCATGGCTTGCTTAGAAAGGACACTGTTCAGAGAAACAGCCATTGGTGCTGGGATGTGTGGCTGCTTAGAGTGGGCTCTGGTTCAACTGCACTCTTTTTTACGTTTCTGCCTTGTGCTTAGGGGCCTCTGCTATGAGGAGTGGGAGGGAGACCAGGGAGCTGCCAGGTGGGCTAGGGGGCTGTGGGCAGGGCACACAGAGCAGGCTCACCCAGCTTCAGGAGCCAGCCTTCCCGGTCCGGGTTAAAGAACGTATGTGTCAGGTCGTTCCCATCATCCTCTGGGATCTTAAAGGGTTCATTCTTAATACTTTCATATAAATTCTGTAAGGGGAAAAATAGCACCAAATTAAAAAAAATTCACAAAGGAGAAGCAATTGTTCTTTCTGTTGTCTCTTCCAATACAGGCTAAGCATAAAGAGCAGCAGGATTGGTAAGCCAGACACAATTGAGAGATGCACTTACAGTAAATAAGCCAGCTGGGCCTTGTGGCGAATGCCTGTAATCCCAGCATTCTGGGAGGCAGAGGCAGAAGTCCCACCCGAAGCAACTCAATGAGACCCTGTCTCAAGGTTAAAAAATAACGATCATATAAAAAGACCTGGGGAGGTGGCTGAGTGGGAGAGTGCCCCTGAATTGAATCCCCATACCAAAGGAAAAAAAGTAAATGAACCAGCACTGCCATCTGCAGAGAACTTGGGAAGTTTCAAAATGTCCCGAGTTAAGAAGGAAGAGGAACAGCGCCACCATGAGGAGGCTCAGCAGTTCAGTCTCACAGACTCACCCTTAGCAGCTCCTCAGGGAGGTCGCCCCCCTCGTTGATACCACGGTTCATGGTGATGAACCGCTCCACAGTGGGCTTGTCACGCACGTTGTGGTTGTGCAGGCTGGTGTTCAGCATGATGATGGCAAACGACAGCACATAGCATGTGTCTGCAACAAGGCAGAGGACAGCGGGGGACTCAGCAGCCTGAGCTCTGCTGAGGTTTGGACATGGATTGTGGGGGCCACAGGGAAGAGCAAAGCAGAAACCTGTGCACAGTGGCTCCCTGCATCTCAGACAAGACTATGCTGGCACAGGCAAAGAAGGTCCCAGGAATACAGTGCCCTGTGCCACAGGCCTTTGTCCTGAAGCAGAGCTGAGGGTCAGGCTGTGAGCCGGCTCACTGACCTGTGGACTGGAAGACGCCTGGGTTGCACAGGCAGTAGCGAGAAGCGAAGGCCTCCATCATGCGATCAATCTTCTGAGCCTCTCCAGGCAGTCTGAAGCTCCACAGGAACTGCCTGCAGAGAGACAGACATCTCACTGAGTGATCAGGCCACAGGGAGGATGCAACCCCCTCAGCCTGGGTGCCACTCTGAGAGGGGAATGGGGACCTCAGAACCAACAAAGAGACTTGGTTTCCTTCTACTCAATAATTCGGGGACAGATTTACCAATTGCTCCTCTTTTTGGCCAGGGCCCCAGGACATCTTGTCTAGATATCCCATGGCTGCCACAGTCTTGACAGTGTATGAAGCCACACTGTCCTCTCAGAACCACACACAGAATGCAAGGACAGACTTAGCAGGACATATCCAGGGCCCAGTCTCACCTCAGGCCATATTCAGTGGCTGCTGCCTCCCTGGAGAAGGTATGCTCCTGTCTTGGGGACTGGGCCCAGGTGAGCAGATACTGCTGTACTTAGATGGCCCCTTTCCCTAAGGTCTCCCACTGATCACTCTCCCTAAAATTGCAACCCCTGCCCCAACACTCCCACCCTCTCTTTGCTTTCCTGGGATGCAAGGCATCCACCACTGCCTACTATCTGTCTACCTTCAGGGTCAAGGGTAGGAGCCATGGCTGTCCTGCTCCTGTGGCCAGCCAAGTCCCACCAGTTCTCAGTGATGTTCAAAGCTGTAGTGCTTTAGCACTGGGTGAGTGTTTATGTCAGGTCTACAGGCTCTGATAAAGCTACTGACTGTCAGTTAAGACACTGACACTACATAGTTGGAAGGGTGGAGGGAAAGTGCTACTCTTCCTCCTTTGCAGGTCCCCAAATGGGGCTGCTCCCTGCTGACCACTGCTATTTCCTGTTATCCTACGCTCTCTCTTATAATTCCCACCACAGTTCTCTGCCAGCACTTGCATCAAAACATTCATACTTGACCCACTGTGCCATCCGCAGGACTCAAGCCAGCAATGTTGGGCTAGCTCAGGCCACCTCTGATGCTCCCCTCTTCTACCAAAGCATCCTACTGAGGGCTGCCCTGCCAACCAGTCTCTCACATGCAGCTTCTCAGATGCAGGACACTAGTACTGCCGAAACCCAGGACCCTCTTTGCTGAGCCCTGACCCCCATTTAGACCTCCCTCCCAGTGGCTTGAAGACCCTTGCCCTACAGGTTTTTGTTTTGGTTTTGGGGTCTTTTTTTTCCTTGGGGTCTCTGTAGCAAGCAGCTCCTTCTGACAATTCATGAAATTTGGGTTTTAGAAGTATCCATTATCCTCTCTCTCTTTGCCTAGAGAGGTGTGTGGGGCCATTTTGGGTACTAACACTGTCACCTGAGCTCCTTCTATATGTGCCTCAGAAAGGGCCAAGACAGAGTGACGAAAGCCCCACAGGCTAAGCCTGGACCCAGTTGGAGCAAAGCCAAAGTGACCATTCTTTGTCCACCCCTGCTCTAGATGGGACCGGGCAAAATTTTGATCCCTTTCCCCCATGGGGTTTATGACAAATCTCTCTTGCTCTGGGCCAGCAATCAGCTGCCCACAGACACAGAATCACAGTGGCAGTGGCCATGTGGTGGACACACTTGCCACTCACCACACTTGTGCCTCTCTCTCTGGATACCCAGTTTTCAAGCACTGAATCTGAAAATGTAAGTCTGAGCCCCAGGAAGCCTACATGTGGCTCATGAACCATTCAGTCCCAAGCTGTGCTGCTGAGGTCAAGAGACTCACACCCAAGTGCCAATCTTTTCAGTGCAAATTGAAAATAAGTAGAAATAAGTAAGGTCACCAGGAAAGAGTCCACATAAGCAAAACCAGACAGTGGTGGACGAGGTCTAAGAACAGGAATCAGACAAGACAGGGCCACAACATTCTCAGACCTGAAATAGGCTGCATGTCTCAATCAGAGGCTCATCCCCTTGATGGGCAGTGGCTCAGAAACAGAACACAAAGTGCCATGAAGCCCAGCCAGGACAGCATGGAAGATAAGATGATGCCCTTCAAAGGCCTAGGGCAAGGGGCGCAAGCAGGTATTTGGGGAGCACACTATGGACCCTGAAAAAAGGCCATATGAAGCAGTGCCATGCAATGCACAGACACCCCACATTCTGCAGTTAAGACTAGGGCCTCCCTTTGCTGGCAGGAAGTCTACATCCTCCTTGGTCAAGTTGTAGCAATCATGTTGGAGGACAAATCCGGTGGGAAGTGGGCCAAACAGTATTGAGGCCACACTGAGCAGAGTGTGCAGCAGATGTAGAAGAAAGTACCACACAACCATTTGGAAGTCATCCAAAATGATGGTCAGCAAAGAAACTGAACAGGATGAAGAACTGGAAGTCATAACAAGGAAAACTTGACATCTGTCCCTCCATGCATGTTCCATTTCTGTGTAGGGCTGCTACCTGTCATGCAGCAGTCACGCATCAGGAGAGGGAACATGGGGACTCAGTCAGTGTCTGCAGGACCTGTGGCTCCTTGAGTTACTCAGAGTGTTAATGACCACTATTCCACTACCACCCAGGTCTCCCAGTGTGGTCTATGCCATGTGCAGCCAAACACTCACCTTAAGGCTTGTACAAGGTTGAGATCAGCAAACTCATGGAGTTCAACAAAAGCCTGAAGAACTTTGATATTAAATTCATCCCTTGAAGAGAGTGAAAACAAGTTTTCAAGGCTCAATCACTTTAAAAGAAAGCCATATCCTAGCCCAGCACAGCAGCTCATGCCTATAATCCTAGCACTCTGAGCCACTGTGGCAGGAAGATCACAAGTTTGAACCCAGCCTGGGTACCTTAATGATTTAGCTAAAATCCGTCTCAAAATAAACATGAAAGAAAAGAGGGGGAGTGAGGAGAAGGGTTCGGTGCAAAGGCCTTGCATTCAGTTCCTATAGTGGGAAAAAGAAAAACTACCATTATCCTTTAGCACATTCTCGCAGTTTTAATTTTGTATGACTACAAATTAAGATTTTCTTCACTGTGCATTTGTTTTCAGGCTTAATGCAAAACAGAATAAATAAGGTAATAGGGGTACATCCAAGAACCAGTTACATCAAGAAGATCATTACAAAATTCCAAATGACAAATGCCACTGCCAACTCTGAGTGCCAAAATATCAAGCTCAATGTGTCAATCTTCATTTTGAAGGTTGCCCAATGCTCAGTGTGTTCCGCAGCCTTCAAAATGACCCCTAGCCCATTTCAAGTCCACAAATTGTAAGGTTTATGCTGGTTCAGAAAAGAAAAGAAACAATATATTAGTTTTTTAAAAATAAACATGAAAATATAGTAAAAGGTATAAAACTTATTTAAATATAATAAAAAACATTAAATACAATACAATAAAAACATTAAATACAATAAAAAACATTGATGTAGCAATATGCTTCACTAAATTTTAACTTGAAGATGCCACTGCAGGTTCTGGTCATGAGGTGAACTGAGGAGTCCCATCCAACCCTGAGGTCCCCTTACCCTACCTCAGGGTTAGCAGAAATACAGGCCACTTGAAATTCACGCAGGACAGCACCCTCCAGCCAAACACCTGTCTCAAGCCAAGCAAACCAGCCCTCCTCAGGTGAGCAAACGACACCTGACCACAGGTGTTCACATCCTGACTAAGTTCACAGTCTACTTGTTGGGAGCTCTGTAAAGGGCTCAGCTATACACACTGCACCTGGGGGAGATCAGCCTCCTCCTGGCTCACAAATTGTCTAGCACCTCAAGCAGGCAGAGAGAATGAAGAGTCAGGCCCACCACTCTTTCCTACTCTTTCCTACTCCCCTGCAATGGCCCTCGCTCCCAGTCTGGGGTGAAGTCTTCAGGGCTCAGTCTTTGCTTTGTCCTCTTCTCTACCCACACTCGTTCCCTGGGGATTGCAGTATGGGTTGAGTACCCCTAATCTGAAAATCCAAAGTGCTCCAAAATCTAAAATTTTAGTATCGTGTTGCTGTTCCAAAACTTTCGTATTTCACATGTTTAGAATTTGTATGATCAACTGTTAGACTTAACTATATATCCTAAACATGACCTTATAAGATTTATATATGATTTGTAAATGCTTTCTTCTGTTTAGGGGGTTGTCATTTCACTTTCTTGCTGATATCATTTGAAGCACAAAATATTTAACTTGGATGATGTCTACTTCACTTAGTTTTTTCTTTTGTTCTGCTTTTGGTGTTGGATTAAGAAACTCTGGCATAAATCAAAATCACCAAGATTTACGCTTGTTTTCTTCTAAGCGCTTTATATTTTTATTTCTTATATTTAAGTTCTTTGCTCTCTTTTAATTTTTGTATACTATTTGAGCACCATCTATGATAAGACTTTTTTCTCCCACTGAATGGTCATGGAACATTTGTTTAAAAATTACTGGACACTGAATATGAGAGTTTCTGACTTTTCAATTCTATATGTCTTCCTTATGTCTATCCTTATATCACTGCCATACTGTCTTGGTCAGTAAAGCTGTAATTTATTTTGTAAATGGGAAGTGTGAATTCTCCAATTTCGATCTTTTTCAAAACTAAGGGCTATTCTGGGTCCCTTGAAGTATCATATACAGATTTTAGGATAAGCCTTCAAACTTCTGCAAAAAAGTCAGTCATCAGGAATTTTGATAGGGAAAGCATTAAATATGTAGCTCAGGCAGGTATGGTGGCACATGGTTATCATCCCAGCACTCAGGAGGCTTAGGCAGAGGACAGCTATTAGCTAGACACAAATCTAGGCTACACATTGAGTTCAAGCTCAGCCTGAATTGCATAGCAAGAACCTGTCTTTAAAAAAAAAAAAAAAAAAAGTAGCTAAATGTGAAGAGTACTATCAATCAGCAATAATAAGTTTTCTGTGCAATGCACATGTCTTTTTGTCTGGATCTTTGAATTTTTCTCAACATTATACTTTTCAGAGTAAAAAGTTTGCAGTTTTTGATTTTTTTTTTTTTTTTTTTTTTGTGAGTATCAAAGATCAAACTCAGGACCTTGCACTTGCCAGGCAGGTGCTGTGCCACTGAACTATATTCTCAGCACATCATTTTATCTTTTTCTTTTTCTTTTTTGGTTTGTTTTTTTTTTTTTTTTTTTTTTTTTGGTACCAAGGATTGAACTCATGACCTAGCCCTTGCCAGGCAGGTGGCTTATGCCTCTAAGCTAAATCCCAGACCCTATTTTATCCTTCTTAATGCTATTGCAATAGAACCTTTAATATCCTTTCAGTTAGTTCAATACTATATAAAAGTATAAATGAGTACTGGGATCTTGTAGCCTATAACCTTGCTGAACTTGCTTCCTCTAACGGTTTTTCAGAGATTCCTCAGAGTTTTTATATGTATGTATCATGTCACCTGCAAACAGAAATAATGTTATTTGTTCTTTTCTCTTCTACCTGTCTTTATTTTCATTTCATTGCCCAAGTTCCCTGGCCAGAACTGCCAATATGATTTTGATCAACAGTAGGGAGAACAGGTATTCTGATCTTGCTTTGGATCTCAAGCAAAAAGTTTTTCCATCATTAGTAGGACATTACTTTTTCTTAGGTGCCCACCACCATGTTGAGGAAGTTATCCTCCAGTCCTAGTTTGTTGAGTATTTGAATGTTTTTATATATAAAAACAGTGTTTACGTATGTACGAATGTACACAATGGGGATTACAAGGATTTCGCATTATACTACATCTCTATCCTTTTTATTTTTTGAGGTCTCACTAAGTCACTTAAATTGCCCAAGTTAAAACTTGACTCTCTCCTGCCTCAGCCTCCCAAAGTGCTGGGCTTACCCACCTGGATAGTAGTTTTAAATTTTACCAATGCTTTTCCCACACTTAATGGGGCAATCAATATGGGTTTTATTATTTAGTCTATTGATACGATTTTACCTTGTCTTGTGTGTGCAACCTAACCCTGTAATAATGGCATAAATTGGTGCATAATTCTTTTTATACATTGCTGATTTTATTTTTTAAAAATTAGTTGAAATTTTTTGTTTCTATATTCCTAAATGATACTGGTCTGTAGTTTTCTTTTCTTGTGATGTCTTTGGTTTGGGTGTCAGGTAGTATTCATCTCACAGAATGAGCTGAGTAATATTCCACTTTCAGTTAAGCATTGATTGACTGACATACCTGAGATTATACCCAGAAAGCACAAAGAGTATCTCCAAACACCTTTTATTTTGCTTTGTTTTTTGAGACAGGGTCTCACTATTAGTTCAGGCTGGCCTTGAACTCACTATGTAGCTTAGGCTGTCCTCAAATTCATGGCAATCTCCTGCTTTCAACCTCTCCTTGCTGGGATTACAGGTGTGTGCCATCACACCTATCTCCTACACCTTTTGAAAATTTTGAGACAAAAATCTCACTAAGTTACTAAATTGCCCAGACTGAGCTTGAACTTTTGATTCTTCTAACTCAAAGTCTACCAGCATGCTGAGATTACAAGTATGTTCTACCACATCTGACAAAGTATTTTTCAATAAAAAAACTAGAAATAGTAGCTACCCTGATTGGGCTTTTGTTCAATAATATTCTCTAAGATCCTAGACAAAAGTCCATTGGGGCACACTCTGCATGTGCTGCCTTAGCATCTCTGTCTAACCTCTGCTAAACACTGTAAAGAGATTTTATTAGAGAAGGTTATAAAGTAAAACTGAGCTGGGTACGGTGGCACACATCTATGATTCCAGCACTCAGACAGCTGAGGCAAAAAGATCACCATGAGTTCAAGTCCAGCCTGGGCAACACAGTCAGACCTAGTCTGAAACAAAACACAACACAACACACAGAAGGCAAATATGACCTGCTGCTTTTCATTTGAGATATTAATAGCTTCCTATCTTTACTGCCACCCGAAATGACAGCATAAAGAAAACCACTGAGAAAGATGGGGCATTTCTGAGCCAGATTTTGCAAGATGAAGAAGATTTCCAAGAGAAAAAAGAGGCAGTGGTATTGTCGGTTCTGTCTTGGGTGCCTGCATGAATGATGCCAAACAAACAAAGAATCCACCTGGCCCCAGATGCTATAACATCCCTCACACTGCACAGAAGCAGAATGACCACACTGGACACCTAGACTTCTGGAGAGCAGCATATGCATTCCTATGTCCTGTATGTAGCTAAGTAGTTGTGAGCACTCCTAAAGAGCAGGGTGGCTCTGCTCAGACTGGAGGCTTAGGGGCGGGGGTCCCACTGATGGTCATCCTCCTCCAACTTACCTCTCGCCCAGATAGTCCCCAATGACAGTCTTATTTAGGCCTTCTCCTTTATAGAGGAACTGGGCAACGTCTTCTGGGGAATTCTGTAGCAGGTCATTTTCTATTAGAAACTGAATTCCCTAAAGAACAGCAAAAGACAGAAAGCACCAATTAGGAAGGCCACTCAAACTCAGTTTTCAAGGACAAAAACACAGTGTGCTGATCTTAGTGATTTGGACACAGCAAAAAAATCAGAGGAACCATGGAACTGCATGATCTGATTTCCCTAATATTCATACTACATCTTATCCATCAAAAAAAGTACATATGTGTCTTCTGGCAATTTAACAGGTTAAAATAGGTTACCGAACACTATTATAAATGATTATTTCAAATGGTAAGGATTCACCAGCCTGACAGTGAATAGAGACAGTAAATCTTTGCATCCCTGAAAATTGCCAGGAGTATCGGAAGGAACCCAGGACATCAAAGACAAAGGGATGCCCCATGAGCAGAGGCAGGCCTGGAGCTGGTCCGTGGCCTTGTCATTGGTGACCATGTGTGCTATAACTGTGGCACAGAAGGTCAGGAAGCTTGCCTTCTCAAAGATCTCAGCAACTCAAGGGCAGACACTGCCTTGAGGGTTCCTTTCGAGGGACCCCAGCTTTAAGAGGTTCTTACATCCTTCCCACCTCTTTCCACACCTCTTAATCTTCTATAATCTCTGTGGCCACAAGATTGGGAGCTGGCCTCCACTAAGTCAATAATCCTTCACTGTTAGCCAAAGCTCAAAAAAGTGAATGGGTCCAAGGAAGAGACTGCTCTAGACACTGTCTTACAAGTCAGTATACCCCAAACTAGGATTAATCTTAAAGACTGCTGTGAAATGACCTATGAGAATTTGGGAAAATCAAACAGGCTCAAAACAAGTAATTTCTGTCCTTCCAGGTCACACAATGGAGACAGAAGAGGCCATGGGGAAGTAAGGCTTCCTTTGCAAGAGATGGAGGCTATAGTCATGGGAAATAGGGAGTCATGTTTAAGTTCAGATCAGAGGCCCTAAGACGTAATGCAGTCAAAAGCCTGAGACAAAGAGGCCAGTTATGACTAGAAGACTGCATCCTGGAGAGAAGAGACCAGAAATGAGAGGACGACACAGGATCTGGCTTCTCTGAGTATAGTGACAAGTGTCCTCAGAACAGAGACCGTCATGTGAAAGTGGAGGCAACAATTGGAGTAATGTGCCTACGAGGCAAGGAGCAGCACCTAACAGCAGGACAGGCCTAGAAGAGATTTCTCCTTCAAAGGGTAAAGGACAACACCTTGACCCTGGATTCTGGCCTCCTGAACTGCAGGAGAATAAACTGTTATATTTTAAGCCACACAATTTATGCTTAATTTGCTAAGACAGCCCCCGGACAGTGATACACTGAGTAGGTAATTATTCATAAAAGAAAACAAATGTCTCATCAGAAAATTAATATTTTAAATGTTTTAAATATTTTAAAGTGTTGCTTCGAAAACTCAAGAACAAAATAATGGCCACCATTCAACCCATTATACTTAGTATCTATGCATTTCTAACCTGGCTGTTACTTGCCCTATGTGTATCCCCCAAAGAAGCTAGAATTTTTAAAAATCTAATAACCAAGTGTAATAGTTAATACACTTGAGAAGTTTAGAAGTTTAACTAAGCTACTCAGCAGGGGACCAGGGTCCTCACTTTGTAAACATCCTCATCCTGTGCTAGAGGAGGACATGGAGACTGTGTGAGTGCTATACCTACTGCGGGGCTGGCCTGCTTACAATATAAGTAAGGAAAAAAGGCTTGCTCTCCCCACTTTTGCTGTCTTCTGCTGTCTTGAACGGTTGCCCTGTACCATGGCACTCTGTCTTGGAGCCAGCTGATTATGGATTACAATCTCTACAAACCATGAGCTAAATAAGCCTTTCCTCTTTATCTTTGGGTGTTGGGTATTTTGTCACAGCAATGAGTAAAAATAACGAAGACACTAACATTTTCTATTTTGAGACGGGGTCTCCCTATACAGCTAGCTGAGACTGGCCTTCAACAATTGGTCCTCCTACCTCAACTCTTGAGTGTTAGTGTCTGTTTTTTAAGAAGTTAATTTGACCTGGTCAGGTCTATGCATACTGATTTGTAAGGACTTAGTCTAGCCTCTTATTTTGTGCTCTTTCATGTGACATTTCAGCCTTTCATTAAACTAATCAAGTCTTTTTGTGTATAGGTTTTTTCTCTGCTTGTTTTTTGGTTTTTTGGTACCAGGGGTCCAACTCATGACCTTGCGCTCACCAGTAAGCGCTTGAGCCACTGAGCCAAAACCCTGGCCCTCATCAGGTTTTCTTTATTTAAGCTTTCCTAATAACTTACGAATTTTATTTAATTCCTGTATCTGGTGGCTACTCTTAAAATTTTAACAACTATCTAAACTTACATTTACCTATCAATATCTAGAAAACCTTAGCAGACTTATACTTTCCTTTTTATTTTACTTTTTTACTTTAGCCTTTTATTTGCCTTTTCATTTTGTCATTTAGACTTAACTGGAAGTACCCCCCACTCATCCCTGTCACTGCCTCTGCCAATACTAGGGGATTAAACCTACGGATGCTCTATAAACTGAGTTACACACCTTATTCTTCTCTTTAAAAAAAATACATACATACATATATGTACACATAAATTTTGAGATGGTCTTGCCAAGTTGCCATGGCAGGCCTCAAAATTGGGATCCTCTTGCTTCAGCCTTCAGGAGCTAAGATTACAGGCTTCAGCCACCACATCTGGCTTATCTATAAATATCATGTCTTTTTTTATCCCATAGATTCATTTTGGGAAGGGAGTTGAAGGTGTAAGCTTTCAACTTCTCAATTACTAGACTCGGGAAATGTCTTGGTGACTGAGTCCTTGCAAGTCTGAAAATGTCTATTTGCCCTTCTTCTGAAGTTTAGGTAGGCAGAATTCTCAGTTTTAAGTCATTTTTCCTCAAATCCTGGAAGCGTTTTTCTGCTCTCTTTGATCCAGTTTCCTGATAATGAGCTCATTTCTTCTTAGACAACCTAGTCTTTTCTTCCTGAAAAATTTAATGACTTTCTCTTTACCACAAGTTTTGTGATATTTTATTTAATATATCTATATATAGGTCTTTCCAAAATTTATACTGCTTAGCATTTCGTAAAGCCTACAAATCTGAAGGTTTTATCTTAGTTTTATTCTAAAACAATCCAAGGTTTCCTGAAAATATTTCCTGTGTTCCATTTTAAGTTGTTTCCTTTAAGACTTCAATTGCATGAATTCTGGTTTGCTGAATTCATCTTCTATGCCTTGTAACTCTGTGTAAAATGGCAGAGAGAATTATTACACTCTCTTCCAGGCCTTGAACCCATGCTGAAGCAGCATCCTCTCTGGGGCACGGCCCGGAGTTCACGTGCCATCCCTATTTATTTCCAACATTCTCACAATGCCCCACCTTGGTATCATGGGTAGGGCCCATCCTGCCAATCTCTTTGATGATATTTATAATATGTACAACTATCCCACTTTTAGAGTTTCTTTCCACTGTTTCTAGAAGGCCTGTTTCCTCTTGTTTTGCTTCTGTTTGTCCAGTCTTATGTCTTGTCAGATGGTGCTGTCAGGGGCTGGGAATTTAGCTCAGTGGCATAAGCGCCTGCCTTGCAAGCAGGAAGTCATGAGTTCGATCCCCGGTACCGATAAAAAGGAAAAAGAAAAACAAAACAAAACAAAAAACCAAGCAGATGGTGCTGTCCTCAAGTGTTCGGCAGTGATTGGCTGAGAGTTTATTTCTCTATGTCACTGGCATCTCCTGGATGTCGTCTGTTCTTGTTTCTAATGCAGCCTCCTCTCGTAAGCTGGTGGCGCAGCATGTAGATGGTGGGAGTCATGCCCACTGCTGACCTCTGGAAGTGGGTATGTCTCCTCTTTTGTACTGCCACCACCCGGATGCTGCCTGTCTCCATGGACTAAGGGTTTTCTCTGGCTTCCTTCCCCCACCTAGGGCCCACAGTGCTCTCTGGTACAGTTCAGCACAGCGTGGAGAGTCTCGCAGTCTCCACTGTTGCCCCATTCTCTGCATCTACCTCCTCTGGGCTTCCTGAACCCCGAACGCTGCTCTCCCTTCCCATAGCAGCTCCTTCCTATGTGACCTGGGAATCAGTCCTTCCTCACCTGACCTCATGTATCTTCTTCCTTGCAGAGTCCTCAGTTTCTGCTCCACTAAACCCCTTGTTACAAACTTAAGTATTTTTTCTTTGAAAGGCATTTTAGGACACTGGGACTCTAAAGGGTGGTAGAATGTTGTTAGCCTCCTTAATTTAATGAAACTTTTCCTTTTATTCATAAAACCAAGTGCTACTTCTAGAATCCAAGGAACCTAAACAAACCAAAGCTCCTTTATTAAAATGTTATCACCTCTCTGGTAGCCTGAAAGAATTTACTTTGAGGATATCTTCATGATTCACACTATTACAAGGCTTAGTAAGGATAAGGCAGTAGATACAGTTCTCAATGCATCTGCAGCATATGAGATTATCTGGTATAGCTATAGACTAAATATTTGTGTCCCCTTCAAAAGGTATATATTGAAGCACAAAGCCACAAAGTGACAGTATGCACAATAGGGCCCCTGGGAGTTAGGATTAGGTTAAGTCATTTGAATAGAGCCCCCTAGTTTAAGACTTGTGCCATTTTAGGAAGAGAGACCCTGGAGTGAACATGCTCCACCCTGGCCATGTAAGCATTCAGCAAGAAGGCAACAGTCTGCAAATGGAGAAGGGGCATTCACCAGAACCTGGCTATGCTGGCACTCCAGTGTCAGACAGGCAGTACCCAGATCAATGGGAAAATACGTGTCTGTTGTTTAAGCCTCCACTCAACAGTATTTTGTCATGGCAGCCAGCTGACTAGGGCAAGTGCCATAACCAAGACTATAAACCAAATAATTTTGATAAGTTTCCCAGCAAAAGCCCAGAGGCAGAGTAAGTACGTTCTGCTTTTATTGGGCAGCATAGTTACAGATAAGCCACTGAGAAGAATCAGATGGAAGGAGCCTGTATGTCCATCAGCAGATGAATGAATAAAGAAAATGGGATTTTTACATACACTGGAGTACTATTCTTTGGGGGAAAGATAAATGAGTCATTTCTAGAAAAATGGATACATAATCTTATGTGAAATAAATGAGACACAAAGCTTTAAACATTGATTGGTATCTCCTATATGAGTAACCTAAATTATAAAACACAGAAAAATAAAAAGATAAATAGTAATAAGAAAGTAGATCATTTTTCAGATGGAATGGGAATCAAGAGATGGAAGGACAAAGAAATCAACAGAGGAAGAAGAGATGAAAAAAGTAATTAGTATGTGCTGCATATACGTACCAACTTCACACAAGGAAAGCAAAGTATTCATTAGGGATTGCAAACATGTACTAATAAAAATTAATTTAAAAATGTATCTTTTAGGTGAAGTGGACACAAAACAAAGTCTGCTAAGACATTCACAACAGCGTGATTAAATTCCTACTTCTCTGGACATGACAAGCACATGCCATGGGGATGACTAGACTGGCGGGATTCAGCTTCCTATGATAAACACACTTTTTTTTTTCTTTTTTGGCCCTAGGGATCGAACTCATGACCTTATGCTTGCCAGGCAGGCGCTTAAGCCACTGAGCTAAATCTCCAGCCCCTCAGCTCCTATGAACCAAATCCCAGGCTCCAGCCAGCTCAGCAAGCAGCCATGGCTGCAGGCCTGCATCTTGCAGTCACGTTCCTCATTCAGGACAGCGGGTCCTCAGCTGCCGTGAGCCTCATCCAGCCCAACAGTGAGACAGGAATTAAATGGAACTTTCTACCTCATAAGCTATTGTAAGGACTGAGTATATTAATCAAAGTGCTTCTCTCTGTGCTTCCTGACTAACATGAAATTCTCAATGTTGGCCCTTTTTGTTGTACTTTTGACACATGATGCATATAAAGTAAGATGACAACCAAGAACCAACAGCAAGGACATCCTAAGCATGAGGTGAGTTTGCACCCAAGAACTGTGGTACAGTGGTAGCATCACTTCAAAAAAATTAGTGTTTACTGTACTGTGCATTTCATGAGATTTGAATCTATCTGTGAACTTACTAGTATGCTACTCAGCACTAAAACATGAGTTCCAGTTCCAAAAACATTCAGCACCCTCTATTACTTCCAATGCTTATACCTGCTGATAATTTAACTCAGTAAACTCAACTCTATTACTTCCATTTGACAATTAACATTGGGGTTCAGTGTCAGAAAAATGAGGAAAATGTCAGAAGTGAATGCAGCCCCAGATCACCAGCAATGAATAAGCCAGATCTGCGGTCAGTGCAACTCCCACACCCTTGCCTCTCTTTGATCCCGAGCCTCAGTGCCTGACTCAGGTTTTCTCTTCTCTCTCAAAACGAAACAGCTTTTACAGATTCTGCCAAATCCTTATAGCTCAATCTCAAAAACAAGCAGATTTTGTTGTCAAGTTAATGTCCTAGAAAATTCAACTGGAGGAAAGAACAAAGTAGTAGCTGAAAAAGATTCCTTGTTCTTTCATTCAGTCCCCCTCTTGAGGGCAAAAGGAAAAACATAATCCTCTGGCCAAACATAGTGGCAGACATCTGTAATTCCAGCACTCAGGAGGATTACTGTGAGTTCGAAGCCAGCCTGGGCTACAAAGCAAATTTGAGGCCAGTCTGAACTGCATAGCAAAACTCTGTACTGAAAAGACAAGAAAGAAAGATGGACAGGCAGGCAGACACAGAGAGAAATACAGAGAGACAAAGAAAGGGACACAGACAGACAGACAACTATCTTACTTGGACTATTTAATTCAATCAACATGATGAAATTTATGAACTCTATACCTGGACTCCATTCCCATCCTTAACCACAACTAACAATGTGAGGCCCTATATTGGAACCTTACTCACACGGCAAGATTAGGAGAGAAATGTCAAGCATGGGGTTCCATATCAAGGACTGAACAAGTGCTCCTCACTGCTCCTGTGGGGCCTCATTAAGCAGTTGCATCCACTTGCTTTTTTTTTTATAAAATAGTATCAACTCCATCTTTTTATGAAGTGACCACCTTTGTCAAAAGACAGCCACTAAACTAGATAAATCAGTTGCATGTCAGAAAACTGGAAGTGTGTGCTTACCTTTTTGGGGTCCATGTTGAATTTCTTTCTTCCCATGGCTATTTGCTTGTTCCTCTGTGTAGTCTTGCTATTCATTTGAAATAATGGGAAAATGATTAGCAGGGATTCGCAGAGAGTAGCACCTCCCACAGCCCAGTGAGGCACAGCCCTTCAGCACATTTTCCCCTCCTAACACTCAGCAAGGGAAAAGCACTACTGCACTCTGAAGACTCTCTTCGAAGGTGTGCGGCCGCCTTGGCTTTTTTTTCACATGTGATAACTTGAGATATACTTCTGAAAAAGCTGACGATGAAAACCAGTGACTCTTTTAAAATAAAAGAGGTGGTTCCTTGTGACACGGAAAGGTTATTTCTGAGTAGTTCATTCTGAGTGCCTGTGCTTATTCTCAAATCTACAAAGATAGAACAGGATTTAGAGAAAGTGCAGGATAGGAAGTAACTTCCAGAGAAGCAACCTCTGCCTTTAGAGAGAACAGGAGGGAGGTAAGGACAGGAAAGAACGAACAACTCCAAAGGCCCCCACTTCCCAGTCACCCCTCTTACCCACTATGCTCACCAGTTGGTAAATTCAAGTAGAGGATAAAGACACAGAGCAGAGATTAAAGAAAGGCATAGCCATAAACATTTTACCTCTCCTCCACTGAAGTCAGGTTATCGATCTCTGTCATCACTTCTGCAATTTCGTATTTCAGCCTCTATCAAAAAGAGGATATTGTGTCGTTTTAACCTTCCTCTGCCTAAACTCAGAACTTTCATCTTCCGGGTGCAGGTTTCTTGAGGGATCATCTGATCATTACAGGTCCAGAACCTCAACACAGTTGTAGACAGAGCTAGAGCCTCATTCACACCCAGTACCACTTAGGAGAAACAAAACAATGCGTCCACCTCTCATCAGATACTAAAGAAGAGGGGCACCCTATGCAGAGTCTAGAGTATTTGTGTGTAAAGTTGGGAAGGGACATGTAAGTATCAGAAAGAAAAAAAAAAGATAAAACCACTTAACTGCACCCATTTCCTGCTACCTGGCACAGGCCACCTGCCTTCCCCTCTGCACTGCCTGTTCTTGGGAAACCAGGGGAAACTGAAGCTCAGATTTAGGTGGCATCAAGTTAGCCAGGCAGTCTCGGGGTGATTTCTGTCACTTTGTAAAACATGAAGCACCAAGGACAGGGATTGGGGGAGTGAAATGAAATCTGGGTCCATGGTACTCAGAGATGCCAGAAACAGAGGGGACAGGCTCACCTTTTCCCCTACTGGCTAAGAGACTCCTAGGCACTCTGGGCCTTAGTGTTCTCTCCAACAGAATAATGCAGTCAGAGCCAAATTAAGATTCCATATTCATCAGCGGTATATGATTACTAGTGTACACAATAAAATATATTCTTATTTGTCAGCCAGAGGACTTATTCTGGGTTACAGGATTTTTCCAAGAATGAAGGGTAACTTTAGACTAAAAATGTCCATGAATTATCTTTCAAAGACAAAGAAATTTTTATTCAGAACCCTATTTTTGTATGCCAAGAAATTCAGACTTTAAAAGTGAGTTCCTAGAAAGGAGTTATTGTCTGGGACAAGGTCTGGATCTACAGTGAGTGGTCTGTGAGGCCATATTTATTTTGGCAGTGACAATGACTAAGAAGCTTCTCAAAGAAGAGCCTTGCCCAAGGAAGCCAAGGCCTACTGAATAGTTTTTGTAAAAGTCACAGGCACTCCAGCTCTGAAACTGTGGCTGTATTCATTTATGTCTCCTGTGGAACACCCCACCACCCTGTCCTTTGGGTAAAGTATGCAAATGTGGGAACAATAATGTTTACTCATCTGGGTTTTACTCATCTTTGTCATTCTGCTCCTGCTACCTAGCAGGCACTCAATACATAGCTAAAACCCAATATATTACTATTCATTCAAAGGACATCTGAGTGCCAAAAACGTAATAACCAATATTCCAGATACTCCAATATTATACACAAACAAGGTTGTATCTAAAAAAAATTTTTTTCTGGTGGTAATGAGGGTTGAACCTGGAGCACCTGTACCAAGCTATATCCTCAGCCCTGTATAATTTTTTTAAAAATCTGGACAGAGGCTAGTCCGAGTGCAGTGGTATTTACAACTAATTGATCACAACCAGTTATAGATTTCTTTGTTCTTTCTCTACTCCCACTGCTTTCACTTGACTAGCCTTTAAAAAAAGGAAAAAAAAATCTGGACAGAGCTTACTAAGTCACTAAATTGCCTAGGCTGTGCTTTAGCTTGACATCCTCCACATTAGCCTCTGAGAGGGCCAGGGTTATACAAGTGTCACCACAACCTCCTTTTCTATACGACTGTGGCAGACAAGGTGCTGCAGGCTGCTGCTGCTGCTGCTGCTGTTGTTGTTTAAATCTGCCACTGTGACTCTGGACCCACAAGTCTAGGCTCCGGTTCCACCATTATGACTTCTGTCCAAGCCTGTACTGTCTGGCATGGAGAGTCAAAGCACTATCTCAGATGACTCTTTGCTTTGTTTCTTTGCATAGTTCTTACATACACACACCAAACACCCATTTTTCACATATCCTTGAAGCTCTTAACTATTTCACCCAAAAGCAAAAACTGAAGAGTTTTTTCTTCCTTTTGTCTGTACCTCAATGTCATCAATAAGTTCTTTTTTTCTTCGACGAATGTCCAAAAGTTCTTCTCTCTCTTCTAAGGAGAGGTCTTCAGGGACTGAAACAAAAAAGAAATCAGTTCAGTAACAGCGGCTTTAAAGACTCATCTGGCAATGTCTGATAAGGCTGAAGATGGACGGCAGACTGGCTGGAAGGCTGTATGACAATCTCCTGACCCCTTCTCCTTCCCACTCCTCAGCAAGACCTTTGGTTTATGTCTAGAACATAAAACAGAGGCTAGCACACACCAAATGCAGTTGTTGATGGTGATACCCTACCAAAACTCATGGGTAAGAGAAATACTGACACCTTCCCCAATCTTGCCCTCAGGACTCCAAGATTACAGGGCAGGCCACCATCCTCTCTCCTCTCAAACTGCTACCCAAAGGCAAGAGCTGTGCTCTGCTCCATCCAAACAGTTGCAAGTCCACAAGTACTGACCAAGGGGGCCACAACCAGGGCACAGGCACACCTCACCTAGCAGGGAAACAGCCAGGACATCTTCCTGCTGAACTCAGAGCTCCCAAATGCGCTTGGTCTTTCATCCTCAAATATGGGTGAGCCTCCAACATTTGAGACACACTGAAGCTAAGAAAGGTCAGAGTGGCCACACCTCAGGGAGCAAGAAATGCTGCAGTAAGGAGAATAGTGCTGGACCCCCTCCTCAACCCCATCCCCACTATGACTCCTACAGAACCCCCTGATTCCTTGGTACATATTTAACCAGTAAGTATAAAAAGACATTTTGAGGGGCTGGGGGTTTAGCTCAGCAGCATAAGCGCCTGCCTTGCACGCTGGCAGTCGTGAGTTCGATCCCTGGTACCGATAAAAACGAAAAAGACAAAAAAAAAAAAAAAAAGACATTTTGATCTCATTAAGATGGAGGGGGGGGAGAGAGAAAGAAGCAGGCTGTCAGTGTAAGTGTAACTTGGCATAGCCACTTTGAAAAGTAATTAGGTATTAATATCAAAGATTACACACTGAAATATATATATGAAAAATTCTTCAGCTTCTCTAGCAACGTAACAGGTATACAAAAAAGCACACTATGTAGATTAAAAGTAGAACCTAAATGTTCATTCACAATAGAAGGTATAAAAGTGTGCTGATATATATGCATACAATGGAATTCCAAAAGCAGTGAAAATGCATAAAACAAGCAACAGATGGATATCTCAAGAAAATAACATGGAAATGAATAATTTTTATATAAATCTCAAAAGCAAAAATTAAATATTTGTTACTGCATAATAATTTTATATAAATACAAACATATATCCCAAGAGCCTTGTGCACCAATAAGGTGGGGCTTTCAGAAGGAGACTAGATTTAAAGGAGCTTATAGCTGACTTGCTCTGAGGATTTCCTCAGAAGAGGAGGAGTGAGGGCATGGCCTGGAAGAGTTTATCTCCCTCCTCAGCTTCACCTTTCATTCTCTCTGCTTCCTGTCTAACATACCATGAACAGTTCTCCTTTACCATGCCCTTCTTTCATGCCATTCAGTCTTCAAGATGGCCAACCATGTAAGCACTGAAACTTCTAAAACATTAGCTAAAATAAGTGCCTCCTCATTTAAGCTGGAAATGTCAGGTATTTTGTCTTGGTGGTGAGAAAAGTAACCAAGACAATGTTTAGGTTTAAGTATGTATGACCTATTATACTGATAAATACAAATGTGGGAGTGTTGTCTCCTAGATGGGAATGAAGAGCATGGGATCAGGAAAGGAAGCACAGAGTATTTCAAATTTCTAATTTCCTGCTTCCTGTACCTGATCTAAACTTCACTGAACTCCACATTAGTGATTTTCTTAAGCAATCCACCTGTAATTGCATTACTCAAGAGGCTGAGAGGCAAGAGGATCACATTTTTGAAGTCAGCACAGACTATACAGTAAGGAGGGCCTAGAATACATTGTAAGGTACTGTTGAAAGAAGGAAAGGAAAAGAGAAAGAGAGAAAAGAATATATAAAAAGCAGTCTTCCACACTGAGTGGCTGAGGAAGAAATTCATTTACTAGACTTGACTGGGCTACATGCTTTAACATGTTATTTCAATTAAATTCCCCAAATAACCTGGAGAGAAGTCATTATTTTATAACTGAAGAAACAGGTAGATAGATCTAATGCAGCCAGGCATGGTGGTGGAAGCCTGTAAACTCATCACTTGGGAGATCACAGGTGGACTGCTGTGAGTTTGAGGCCAGTCTGGACTACAAAGTGAGTTCAAACCCAACCTCAACTGCATGGTGAAACCCTGTCTCAAAAATTTTTTAATTAATTAATTAATTAAAACAAAATAAAATAAAGCAAGCAAGTAAGAGATCCATCCAAGGATTTTCCCTAGAGGGAAAATATTTGAAGACATAACTACTGAAATGTCCCAAATTTGACAAAAGAGTTGAAAATACACACCCAAGATGCTTAAGAAAATCCAAATAAGATCCACAAAGCCATGCCACATTCTTTGCACAGGTCTAATTAACAATGTTGTCTGGGACTCAGTTTTGTCTTCTCAAGTACTAGTTTCATTCTAAAGCTGATCTCCTACCTGTGAGAGGCTTTTGGAGTAGCTGAGGCTGTGCATGCCTGTATCTAGGGACACCTTCAAACTTGCTCCCCAAAAGGCCTCATATAGTCTCTCCCTCAATTCTCTGAGGCCCAACCTGGGTTAGGCTTTGACTCATACTAATCAGAGAAGGTAGAAAAAATGTCTACCACACTTAGCACTTAAGAGAAAGACACATTAACATCTAGATCAACAGATGAGGTGAGACCTAGGAGATGATTCCAAAACCAAAGAGAACGGAAAATTTCTAGAGAAAAACCAATGTTAAAGGCCCAGACAGACCCAGTAATATAGTAAACATACAGTTCTAGAATCTTCAAAGCTATTCCTCTTACCACAATGAGAGAGAGCGTGTATTCCAACAAAAACAAGAGTATTTGCTAAAGTGGTCAGCTGACACTTTCCTAGAGAATAAACGCACCTGAAAACTCATTAAGTTTTTCAACATCATTGACTGGGCTCCCAAAAATAGCTTAAGAAAAAAAAAAAAACTTTCTTCTGCCAAGTTCTCCAATGTAAAAGTGTCAAAATAAAAGTCTGAAAGGGTAGAGCTTTACTTAAATCATTTACAGACACCTGTGTTTCTTTAAGGAAAGCCTACTTACAGTCTCTCTCTACCTAAGAATATGAAGGATTGGCCACTAACAGAATAAATGCTTAGAAGGCAAATCTAAACACCAGAATCATTTAACTCTGAAGTTCCTTCCATCAGAAGCTGTGCCACTGAACTGTATCTCTTCCCCGACTTTTTTCCTACAACTGTTTTCTAACACTATTAATTTCCTTTTACTCCTCAATAAAATGAGGAGTAAAACTTTTTTTCTTTCTGACACCCCATTAATTTTAAAATTTTACTTTTTTTAATTCTCTGGTTTCCCACCCCCTCCACCATTTTAAGTATAACTATTACGCTTTATAGAATCACTAGGTAGTAAGTAAAGTTTATGTCACTAGTGTTCAATACTGTTCTGCAGTAGGTGGTGGTAAACTTGTTCCATTTAGTAGTTATTTACTGTAAGTCAACAATAGGTCAATATTTGGTTTGTCTTAGTGTGCATGCTATAATTACAGATCTCTTTTCTAAGATTAAGAGTGATATATTGTTGGTCCTTAGGGTCTGTCAATATCTAGTTTAAGTTTGATGATATTATTGTTGCTGATTTTACTACTATAGCCAAAGTGACAAGGTTATTGTTTTTTTCAGGATATTTTATTGCATCTTGTCATCTTCAAAGTAGCTGCCTCTACTCTTAGACTTGATACTACCAAGCATACCAAATTTGAAAAAAATCAGTCAAGACAAAACAGTGATCTAACAAACTAGATTCAAATAAGATCAGTCAGGGCTGGGGATTTAGTTCAGCAGCATAACCACCTGCCTTGCAAGCAGGCGGTCGTGAGTTTGATCCCCGGTACCCATAAAAGTTAAAAGAAAAAAAAAAGATCAGTCATAGTAAGACAATGTAAGTAATACAGGGCTTCATTTTAACTTAATAGGAAATTAAGAATAGTTACCATAGTATATCCTGCTAGTTTGGGGATAGCTGTCTGTGCTCTCAAATCTAGTTCGAGTAGACAGACTGGAACAGAATAAAATCAAATGAAAGAGAGCAATAAGACTAAGGTGGCTTTTAAATCCTCATAGAGGCACTGGAACAACTAGGCGGATCTGGGGCATCTGCATCACCTCCCCGTTCCCGGCTGTGCTTGGAGGACTGTGGAGTTAGAAGCAAGCAGGCAGGTGCCATCAGTTCCACAGGGCCCACAGCCTGGCATAAGTGCCCCATGCCCTTTCCCCCGAGTCCAGCTAGTTTGGGCCCAGCCAGGGAACCTCACTGCTTCCGAGTACACTGGAGCAGCATGGGAGGTCCAGGGAGCAGGCATCAGCCTCCTCTCTCCAGGCTGTACCTGGCAGACTGTGGAGTGCTAACCAAGCAGGCAGGCACCATCGGTTCCAGAGGCTGGGCTTGAGCCAGCCTGCTCTACCCACAGTGACCCTCTATCAATCCAGGGAACTGGGTGCCAGAGTCCCAGCAGCTGAGCGCACAGAAGACGATTTCCAACAGACCCTGAGGAAGCCTTAGAATAATACTCGAAACACTTGAAACATAGAAATATAGGAAAAAGACAAAACGAAAGACCAAATTACAATCTCAAACCTGCAACCCATCCAAAGAAACCTTAGGAGTGATGTATATAGAAGAAAATATATGCCATACACCTCAAATATGGGACCTCATAGCAACTGAAATAAACAAGCAACTCCAGGAATCTTTAAAGGAATTCAAACTAGAAATAATCTCCCAGGTAAAAGAAGAAATGATAAAAGAAATGAAAGCAATGCTGAATAAATCTAAAGAAAATACAGTTAAAAAATTGGAGGAACTAAACAAAAAGATAAAATTCCTAGATGAGCAATATAAGAAACAAACAGAATACATAAAACAGATGCACAGAGATACATAGGAAATCAAAAATTCCACTGAAAGCTA